GCCCTGACCAGGACTAGGACCCGGTGTGCCGGCGCCACTAGGCGGAGGATTAGCCTGCTGAGCCGCGGCGCTGGCCTGTAATTGTTTTTTATATGCTCTTATTCCTCCTTTTCAAACACTTTCTAAAAACACATGAGTTGGAGAAGCTCTAAGTTTTCTCATTGTTATCCTTACTATCATACCTAAAACATTAAGTCCTGTTATAGAACACAAAAACAGGGAACCTGGGGGCTACAATGCAAAAATTATTGCAATTAGCAATTGACCTTTTTTATTTTTTATTTTTGTTTTTCTTTCTTTCTTTTTCAATAAAGATAGAGTTACAGAGAGAGGTAGAGAGAGAGAGAGAGAGGTCTTCCATCCGCTGGTTCACTCCCCAGATGGCTGCAATGGCTGGAGCTACGCCGATCCGAAGCCAGGAGCCTCCTCTGGGTCTCCCACGCAGGTGCAGGGGTCCAAGGACTTGGGCCATCCTCCACTGATATCCCAGGCCACAGCAGAGAACTGGATCAGAAGAGGAGCAGCCGGGACTAGATCCAGTGCCCACATGGGAAGCTTGCACCTCAGGCCAGGGCTTTAACCTGCTGCACCACAGCACTGGCCCCCACAATTGACCTTTTTTATAAAATTATGGCTTTTTATTTTTCTGTCTTGAATGTTATAGCTAAAGGTGGGTAGATAAAATAGAAGAGGAGGAGGCCCTTGCACTGATGTTACTGCTGTTTTAAAGGCTTCAACAGGGACATCTGTTGGGTGTTTAACAAAGGAAGCCAGAGTGTTTCAGGGGAGAGTGGAGGAGACTGTGGCCTACAAGGGAGCCACAACTGTTTGATCTTCGGGTCCCATCTGAGAAAGCTACACTTCTGAATAGCACGGTCTCCCAGTTAAACTGGAATCCGGTAATAGATGAAAGCTGTTCTTTCCTCAGTGTTTCAGGGGTAGGGATCAACAGCTGTTTGTATCCTTTCATATCCCACTAAGGGGGAAGAATCCACATCTGTCAGTATTTTCCGGTCCTATTTCCTTGGATCACAGTGGGGAGGAGGTGAAGCCTGGACCCCTCCCCATTCCCAGGCAGGATCTCAGTAATATGCCTTCCATTCAAAGTTGTAATTCTAAGCAGAACTCGGTATTTCTCATCCACCCAGGGTCTGCTCTGTGCCTAGAATTCTTCTCTTACTTTATCCGGACAGGCATCTTGATAATTTCCATGATAATGACTCATGACAGCACAAAGATCAAAAAGAAGAAAAGTGGGCTGGAATCAGGGGGAGGAAGAAGAGGAAATGGAGTGTAACAGAGAAAGTATCTCCTAAAAATAGGTTTTTCCAAAAGACAGCAACAATAACATCAAATGGTGAATCAGGGAGGTGCCCGCCAGAGCAGGTGCTCAAGAAAACCGTCACAGTGCTGGTGTGTGGCCGGCTTTTATGGTTTGTTGTTGTTGTTGTTGTTTGTTTGTTTACAGTACCCTAACATTTCACCTTGAAAAAGGTAAATGGAGAAAATGGAACCCTGTGGAAATAAGGTGCAGGAAATATCTGGGAATGGTGACGGAGATCCTGAGGCAGCTGTTAAACTTTGTTTTGGCCGGCGCCGCAGCTCAATAGGCTAATCCTCCACCTGCGGCGCCAGCACACCGGGTTCTAGTCCCGGTCAGGGCGCCGGATTCTGTCCCGGTTGCTCCTCTTCCAGTCCAGCTCTCTGCTGTGGCCTGGGAGTGCAGTGGAGGATGGCCCAAGTGCTTGGGCCCTGCACCCACATGGGAGACCAGGATAAGCACCTGCCTTCTGGCTTGGGATCAGCACAGTGCGCCGGCTGCAGCGGCCATTGGAGGGTGAATCAACGGCAAAAGGAAGACCTTTCTCTCTTTCTCTCTCTCACTGTCCACTCTGCCTGTCAAAAAAAAAAAAAAAAAAAACAAAAAACAAAAAACAAAAAAACAAAAAAAAAACTTTGTTTTGTTCACCAGTACCAAGCACATATTGGAACTTTATAAAATTATTTTCCACCTATCCACCCATCCACTTATCAACAACTTGTAAAGCACCAGGATTAGATTTAGTCTTGGAATAGTCAAATGGACAAGGCTTCCGTAACTTTAAGGAGCTTATATTCTAAGGAGTGAAAACCCTCACAGAGAACGTGGTTTGTGAGTTGGATTTGAAATGCTCCATGAGAATTCACTAGACAGAGAAATGGGTGTTCACAGAAGGAAAGAACAACATGGACAAAACCAGAGGTAAAAAACTGACAGTTTCTGGGGAATGGAAAAAGTCTTCTGGGTATTTATAACAGAGGAGTAGCAAGTCCTTATAAAAAGTGGAAGCTCATAAGAAACTCAACTCAATAACAGGAAAACAAATACACCGATTAAAAAGTGGACTAATGATCCTCAAAAGAAGACATAAAAATGGCCTGCAGGTGTATGAATAAAGAAAATGTATGTACACAGTTTGGTAAATATACCATATGGATAAAGGAAAGGCAGTATATACTTGTATACACAACGGATCATCAGGCAGCCTTAAAAGAGAATGAAATCCTGTCATCTGTGGAATATGGATGAACCTAGAAGACATGTTAAGTGAAATAAGGCAGTCACAGAAAGATAAATACCTAATTATGCCATTTATATGTATGTGGAATCTAAGAAGTTGAACTCAGAACTATAGAGTAGAATGGGGTTACCAGGAACTGGGGTGGTGGTAAGGGGTTGGGGAGATATTGGTCAAAAGCCATAAAATTTCAGATAGAAGGAATAAATTCTAGCTATCAGTTATTCAACACAATGATGCTTTTAAACAGTGCTGGTTCTTTAGATCTCACCTAAGAGATTCTGATGTAGTTGCTAAGGGGGAGGATCAAGAAATTTGTATTTTGAACAGAAAGTCCAAGTAATTCCAATATAAACAAAAGTTTGACAACTTCAGTGTATGTAACTTAACATTTCCCAAAAGAGGCTAGTGATATTCCATTGGAAAAAAAAAATTGTATTAGGGTCAAATCAGGAAACACCACATATTCAATTATTCTATTCTTGGAATAGATTGGCATGTTAAATGTTCTGAAGTAAAGAAATCAATTTCACCCAGCATTTCCTAAAGTCATTTTTCCATTGGAGGGAGCAGAGATCACAGCTGAAACAGAAGGTGCTGACCAGGTGAGCTTGCTCCCAGGCATGCTGAATGTCTAAGGAAATGTCTAGAAAAAGAAAGCGAAGTCAATGATTCTGAGGGGCATGAGGGCACCCATTGATTTCATCCAAGTAGCGTTGAAAACCACCTAGGATGTCCTGTTTCAAGTAGAATGCCAGAAGCTTCCTCCCTCTCAAGTTACACACGTGGCTCTGTGCCGCGACTTCTGGTCAGCAACTCTGGGCCATAACCACAGCTGCTAGAGACCAGGAATGCTGGAGTTCAAAGCGTTTGGGAACAGACACGGGGAGGGATGAAGAGGAGGTACCCTTGCCTACATCGATTTATCTTTATTGATATCATGTGTTCTGCACAGAGCTTTCTCCTTTGTAAGAATTCTGGAAAAGAAAAATTCCTCCCAGCTCCAAAAGCAGCCTGAGAGAGTCAACGCAAATGTAAAAAGGCAGGAACCTAAGGAATCTCCATCCTTGCAGATGCTTGATATAGGCCCAGGGGCATTTTCTGAAACCTACCTTCCTGCTCCTACCTCCTGCCACACAAGTCGCATCCCTCCTGTTTAACAAGGGCCAGGAAAGAGCATGGGGTAACTCCACAGGCGACGCAACACCAGGATTCTGACAAGTAGTTCTTGTGCTGCATATTGCAAGATGTACCATACAGCACCAATCAATTCAGACACTTTTGCCCCTGGTATGAACTTAATTACTTCCATTCACTCCTTCTCAACGTTCCATATGCCACTGGGACACCAATCTCTCATCTAGAGATGATTTCAACTGCATACCCCAACCATTCAGAACTTTTAAATAATACTTTCTAAAGCACAAGTGTTTTATTTAGCCATTCCCCAAATACTTCCTGGAGGCCTACAGAGGTTTCAAGGCACTGGAGACACAAGAGTGGAGTAGGAAATTGTTCATTCCCATTGAGCCTAGATCATAAGACATGAAATTCCAAATTCCGTCTTCAGTGCATAGAAAATGCAATGATAAGAAGCATAAGGAAATATAAGAAGTAGAAAAGGTTTGGTTCTTTCACTTCCCTTTTATGGCCTGTGGCATAAAACAAACAGAAGTATTTGCATTTCAAGTGTCTTAGTGAGCCCAGCAGCTATGCAAGGGTCAGAGTTCACAGCACGGTCTGGAATTAAAAATCCATGAGTAGGAGAGGGAGGAGAAGGCCAGATCTTTATTTCTCCAGAATGCAAACCCAGTTTGTTTGATCCCCAAACAAATCCACAGACCTCACACAGGGATTTCTTTTTCTTCTTCTAAAAAAAAAAAAATGTTTTGTTTTGTTTTTTAAATTCTAGAGGCAGAAGAGACAGAGCCCCTAAGCACTGATTCACTTCCCAAATGCCTGCAATGGCAGGCGGGGCCAGTCTGAAGGTAGGAACCAGGAATTCAGTCCAGGTTTCCCACATGGGCGGCAGGGACCCAACTACTTGAGCCAAAGCCTGCTGCTTCCCAGGGTCTGCACCTGTGGGAAGCTGGAATCAGTAGCCAGAGCCGGGGAACCGAGACCAGACATTCAACAGTGGCAGGCAAGCATCTCAGCCGCTGCATCAAACGCCGCCCATTTGGAACTTCCTAGTTCTGAAAGACGGATTGTACCTGAATCGATAATAATGATAACCTGTCAATTAGCCAGAAAATAAATTTCTTACTAGGGTAACTGGGTGGATTTGTGCAGTCCCAAGGAAGTCAAGATCAAATTTAACTTAGGAAAACACTGACATGGGTTCTAATCAGCATTCAAAGGGGTTCTGGCAGAATTCCCTGAAAACTTCAAGTTAGAGGGGCAGGTATGCCAAAATAGTTGAAAAAGTGGTCAGGGACTTACCCACACACGTTGGAAATATGTCCTCGTTGTTGATCTGGACCTCGATCCAATCCATAAGAAGGTTCATGTACTGGGGAGCTGGCAGTGCCGTCGGCTTCTTATACTTGTGGTCATCCTGCCACCGATACTCATATTTGGGGCCCCCTGACATCACAGGGCAGGTCCGCTCAGTGCAGAACTCACAGATGGTGCCGTAGATGAGGTTGATTCGATTGAAGAAGTCCACCACGTGCACCGCCACCCAGTCATTCTGGTCCTCCCCACTGGGCAGCTGCACAGCTGCCTTTAGGTCCACACCTGAGTTGAGGGACGCCTGGGCCCGCTTGTGCAGCTCAAACCGCTGGGTGCCAGGTTCGAACTTCCTCTTGGGTCGGAAGGTTTTGTCTTTGTTGAACACCTGTTTCAGAGCAATAGACATAGTTTTCTCCTTCTCTTCCTGTTGTGTGCAGGAAGCAAAAAGGCACCTGGAACTTTTCAGTGAGAGATCACAACCCAACAGGGTTTTCCACTGCCAGCCCTCAGGCCCCAGTCTTGCAGGCTGTGTCTTTTAATCTCTGTTAAATTGCCCCTTCCATCTTCATCTTGAATGACTTCCAAGGGAACCTCATGTTCCTTCCTAAAGGCAGAGGAGAAAAGGAACTTTTGAGTGCCCAGTTGGCATTTAAGAAATGGCAAAAACTGGGGCTGGCATGGTGGCACAGCAGGTTAAGCCCCCATCTGTGACACCAGCATCCCCTGTGGTCATAGGTTCAAGGCCTGGCTACTCCACTTCTGATTGAGCTCCCTGATAATGCACCTGGGAAAGCAATGGAAGATGGCCCAAGTGATTGACTCCCTACACCCCTGTGGGAGACCTGAATGAAGCCCCTGACTTCGGCATGGCGCAACCCTGGCCACTGTGGCTATTTGCAGAGCGACTGGGTAGTCGGAAGATCTCTATTCCACTCCCCTCCCTCCACTGTGTAATTCTGCCTTTCAAATGAATAAATAAATCTTTAAAAAAAAAAAAAAAGGAAATGGCAAAAGCTTAGACCCACTTTCTGTGCTGTGTTCCTGGCTGCACCTGCTTCCATCCACGTACATGGATGTGGGGGTTAAACCACCCACCGTCCTGTGAACCTGCACAGGTGATGCGAACTACGGAAGCAACCACAGGCACCACACTCCTTCTGATGGCCCCTGTCAACCTCTATTTCCCATGTGATCATAGGCTCAATGGATCTTTCCAAAGAGGCAATGGTGAGTGTGTTGATCAATGACTGGATCCTACCCCATATGTGGTCCTTTTCAGAGTCACTCCCTCCACTGCCCCTACTGAGTATGCATGAGGTCACCACCCCCACCCTCCCAGGTACAGCTGATAGGGGTGGGGTTTGCTATCACAAGCAGCTGGCTGATAAGAATGTATCTTCTGGGAATTGGGAATCAGGACCCAGTCTTTGCCTGGCATTATCCTTAAGGACTGACAAAAACTGGGCCAGATAGGATAAAGGACTGTAAATCAGGTCTTGGGTTTGTCCCCACCTTATTGACTGACAGTTTCTTCCCTCAAATTGTCCTTAAAAACCCCACTACCACCAGCCCCTTCGGGCTTTTTCCTCTCTTGGAGGCCCCTCTCCATGATGCTCTGGCTGAAGGTCTTTGACTCTAATAAATTTTGCTTTTTAAACCTAAAAACAAATAAACAAATTGGGCCTGGCTGAGTCCAGTTTGGATCCTGTGTAGTGCAGTCAAGAAAGCTAGCCTGCAAAGCCAAGAAGGAATCGAGGAGTGAGGAGGAGGAAGAGAAGGACTTGTGGGAGGACGTGGAGGGATGACAATGATGACTACAGAGAAACAATGACAAGAGCTCAAATGGCTGTAGGGAGAGGAAGACAAGAGAAAAGGGAGGAGCAGCATTGTGGCATAGCTGCGACACCAGCATCCCATATAGACGCCAGTTTGAGTCCTAAATGCTCCACTTCTGATCCAGCTCCCTGCTAATGCACCTGGGAAAGCAGTCGAGGACTGCCTGAGTGCCTGAGCCCCTTTACCCACTGGGGAGACCCGGAAGAAGCTCCTTGCTCCTGGCTTTGGATCAGCCCAGCTCCAGTCACTGCGGCCATTTGAGAAGTGAACTAGTGGATGGAAGATCTCTGTTTCTCCCCCTCTCTGTAACTGTGCCTTTCAAATAAATAAAATAAATCTTTAAAAGAAAAAAAGGAGAAAAAGAGTGAAACAGTGAAAAGGGATGATTGAATTCTTTAGTTCCTTATAACCTCCTAGGAACCAATTCCAATTTCTCTGGAAGCCCAACTCTGTTTCCTGCCTTTAGGATCCATTAGTGTTTTCTGAATTAGTCATTAAGTTCCTTCTTTGACTTCAACTAACCTGAGTGGGTTCTGTTTCCTTTCAAGGATCCTTACCACTGTGGTGTACCTGGTAAAGCCGCCACCACCTGCAGTGCAGGCATCCCTACTGGCGCTGGGTCCAGTCCTGGCTACTCCACTTCCGATCCAGCTCTCTGCTATGGCCTAGGAAAGCAGTAGAAGACGGCCCAAGCCCTTGGGCCCCTGCACCCATTGGGAGACCCAGAGGAAGCTCCTAGCTCCTGGCTTCAGTTTGGCGCAGCTCCGGCTGTTGTGGCCAATTGGGGAGCGAACCAGTGGATGGAAGACCCCCCCCTTCTCTGCTTCTCCTTCTCCCTCTGTATAACTCTGACTTTCAAATAAATAAATAAATCTTTAAAAAAAAAAAAAGGATCCTTCACTATGCAGCATTTGTCAGCCCTATAATGTAGCATCCTTTATATCCATAATATCACACTATTATTATATCAGTAATATCACACTCTAGATAATACTTTGACACACAGCTGTCCAATACAACTTTCTTGCATAATACAAATGTTCTGTATCTTTGTTGTCGAACTACACACTTATTATCCAATATGGTGGCCACTGGTCACATTTTGGTATTGAATACTTGAAATGTGACTAATGTGACTTAAGAGCAGAATTTTACATTCTATTAAATTTTAATGAATTGAAATGTAAATAGTAACATGCCTAGTGGCTCTCATATTGGGCAGAGTAGCTTTAAAGTGATGACTGATGCTTTGCTCTCCACTATCTCATTTGACTCACAAAAATCTGGTGAGGTTTACTGATTTATAATAGCTACAGTATATTTACAATAGGTATTACTCTTCCTGGATCTCCAATAAATAAAATTACTTGCCCAAGAAGCTTCAGTAACTAACAAGAGTCACAGTCAGGATTGACATCCAATTTATTGACTCCTAGCAAAAGTTTTTCCATTCTAAAAAGTGATACCCTACAACCTGTCTTTCCTGCTGGTTCATGCAGTTCCCTTTACTCAGAAATGTATCCCTTTTATCCTTTATCCACATATTCCTCAAAGGCTGCTGGAACAGACTGGAGGAAAAGACATGGTCTTAAAAAGATAGTAAGTAACCCATCTACTCCTAGGTCAAGCCTTTAGGAAATGAGCCAACAGCTGAAGCCAGATTCAAAAGAGCCCATCGTGGAGTTTGTTAAAATGAACTTGAAACACAATCCCACCAAACTGCTTTCTCCCTGCTTGGAAGGGGTTCTGGAATTCCACACTCAAACATGCCACCTTGAGTTATTACAGCAAAAAGCTACACCTGTGATCTCCTGATTCATTTTTTTCCAGCCACTGCCCTTTGCTCAGAACTGATAATCATCTAGCTGAGTGCCTCTCCCCTCACCTGCTGCAGCCTCTGCCTGCTCACCTCCTCCCCCTTAACCTCATCCTCTTAACAGGTTTTCCCTGCAATACCAAACCATACCCATGAGATGGGTTTTCTTCTCCTCGCATAGAATGGAGCATTCACATACTTCAGAAGGAGATCCATATGGAAAAGCAAGCCACATGACACTCTGCCTGAAACTATGAAATCACACTCCAGGATACTTCATTAATACTTCACTAATCCTCCGCCTTGCGGCGCCGGCACACCGGGTTCTAGTCCCGGTTGGGGCACCGGATTCTGTCCCGGTTGCCCCTCTTCCAGGCCAGCTCTCTGCTGTGGCCCGGGAGTGCAGTGGAGGATGGCCCAAGTGCTTGAGCCCTGTACCCCATGGGAGACCAGGAGAAGTACCTGGCTCCTGCCATCAGATCAGCGCAGTGTGCTGGCCGCAGTGTGCTGGCCGCGGCGGCCATTGGAGGGTGAACCAACGGCAAAGGAAGACCTTTCTCTCTGTCTCTCTCTCTCACTGTCCACTCTGCCTGTCAAAAAAAAAAAAAAAAAAAAATTACCTACAAGTATATCGACACACAAACTGCAAACTCCATAGGACAACATCTTTTTCAAAAGATCTCCTACCTAAAGGCCTAGCCTGTCTGAAAAGAGGCTTAACAAAGCTGAAGGCCTTGGAAGGGCATTTCCAAAAGCATGAGCTACAGGTTGGGAGGATAAAGGACGGTGAGGACTTTTTTAAAGTAGACAATAGTCCCTCTATGCTCAAATGCTTAATTGCTGACAGTAAAGCACCAACAACCCAAAGGCTGCCTCCTCACATCTTGAACAAGCAAGACTTGCTGTTTCTGTTATTCTGATAATGAGGGTACCGCCAGTTCCCACGGTCTTCAGAGCAATCTTCTTTCCTTACCTTATATGACCTTTGCTTCCACCAATTCTGCTGCATTCCCCTAGGCCTGGAATGTCTGCTTGCAAGGACATGGATGGGGAAAGTGTCCTCCATACCTGTGCCAGGCTCTTGTGGATGCCAACAACAAGTCCATCTGCTGTACTCTTAGAAGTAAGTCCGCAGGACTGTATGCAGAGCTAAACAGCTTACTTCTAAGGGTACAGCTTAAAAACTTATCATGGGACTCCAATCCCATTAAAATTGGTGGTAAAAATGCCATGTTAATTGTTAAAGTGATCATATTAAGTGTTAAAGTCAGTATATACATAGGATTAAGTGTAAAAGAGATTATATAAATAACATCAAGTGCCTGGTAATAATATAATTAAAAAGGAAGGAACGTCCAATATGGGAAGCAGTCCACACAGCAGACTCCTAGAATGACAGTCACTATAAATAACACTCTGACCTCAGAATCAACCTTTAAGGCTTCCTGGTCTGGCTAAAAGGCCTGTGAGAGCATGTCAGGCATGGAAAGCCAAGACTGTATGGCAAAAAATATCCCACACGAGGGATCTCTGTGAATGAGACCCCAGGGGAAAGAAGGGATCATCAAAGAAAGTTGTTCTTTTCTCTGAAGAGAGGAGAGAACATCCACTTTGCTTATGCCATGTCCAAATACTTATGGAGTCTGTGGTCAGCAAAGGCTTCCATAGCCTTGGCAACTAATGGCTGATTTGAGTTATCATGTATTAAACTCTACTAACACTAAGTGTTTTTCATATATTAGCATTTCTAATCCTTACCATACCTTGGATGGTAGAAGTTTTTATGACGATTTCATATGAAAAATAATTGAAGTTCATTCAACTAGATGAAGTAATTTGACTGAAATCACAAAGTTGGTAGATGGTAAGGCAAGATTTTGAATTCATTATCTCTCTGGCACTGAAACACAGATGATTTTTTCTCCAGTTAAAAGTGTTTTAAAACCTATGAA